TGGACACCTGGGATATACGAGGCGCGCCGCCTGTGACGTGGCTTGCGGCGCGACCGCCGGGAGAGCTGATAGCGCCGCGAACGGATGCTCCGGGTCTGGGGGCCGCCGCGCTTTGTTGGAGGGCTTGCGATAGGCGAGCCCAAACAGTCAGCGGTAGCGCTGGTGCTGGCTTGAGTGGCATTGGCGGCGGTGGCGGCGGTGGCGGCAGGTGGCGGTGCTGATGCTGGCAGGCGTTGGTAGGCGGTGCGTGGTGATGATGATGGTGTGAGGCTGCGGGAGCGGAGCAGAGCGAGGGGTTTGCTGGCAGGTGGCGGAGGTTATGGGCAGTGGTGGTGGACTCTGCGCTGGCGGTGGGTGGCGTTTGGCGGCGGTGCCGAGTGTTTATGCTGTGTAGCGGTTGGTGGCGAGTTGCGTGGTTTGGATGAGTGGAGGCTGCGGGAGCGAGGCAGGAGGTGGGGTGGTCGCTGGAGCTGTGGTATATTTGGCAATGACGCACGAGCGAGTGGACTCTGGCTTAGCGGCCTGGCATGGGTTGGCGCTGGTTACTAGTTGTTAGGTGATGGCGCGGTGATGCTGGTAGCGTTGGGTGACGCTGGCAACGGCGGATGTGGTGGGTGGGGTGGCTGGCCAGAGGCGGAGGTCAACAGGGGTGGCGGGTCGCTTGGCGGGGGCGCGCCGTATAATGGCAATGGCGGACGGCGGATGACACGCAGATGAGAAGGCGGGGTGCGGCTTGGACATCGTTCTGCTGACCTGGGGGTGACGATTGGCGCTAGGCTTGTGGCTGCGGCGTTGGCGCTGGTACTGTTGGCGGTGATGATGGCGGCGGTGATGCTGATAGCGCTGCTGGCGCGAGCGTTTTGGCAACGGCGGCGGATCGGGGGGTGAGGGTGCGTGGTGCGGAGCGTAAGTGGAGACAGGTGGCGTGGGGGTCACCGGCGGTGGCGGCGTTTATAGCAGTGGCGACGGCGGCTGAAGCGGAGGCGGCAATGGCGGTGGCGGCGCGGTGGTGGCGGTGGTGGCGGTGGCGCCGTGCCGCGGGTTCTCCTCTGAAGCCGTTTGCTTCAGAGATGCCCGGACATGTCGACCGCTGAAATATTTGTCTTTTTTTTTACTTCTACAGAATTTATATATACTTTTCGACATTTTTATGTCTCGCATTCGGATATCTTAATTCACCATGTCAAGTGAAGTATTTCTGTTATACACAACGATTGCTTTATTTGTGAAAAATTGTATTGATACGACTGATTTGTCAACAAACATCCATTTGTCATTAATTGCCTGTGATGCGAGACGTGTTTTATGAGACGCAGTACAATTTGGTCAATATCTAGACTATAATATTTGTGATTAATTATATTAATCGTTTAACAACAGGGAGATAACATCCTGAAAACGTGGGTGATCTGGGCTGTCCGGGTGACGCCGCGTCGAAGCCCTCAGGCAACTCAGCCTTCGACGCGGCGTCACCCGGACAGCCCAGATCACCCACATGACTGGTCGCGGAAGCCTAAGACTTCAACATCTTGAAAACGGAAAAAGTAGAGGTTCTTGCGAATTCTTGTATTGCTCTCTGTTAGTCCGTATTTTTGTCTGACAACAATATCATCTTTTGGGGGCGCAGATCATGAAGTCAAGAAAATACTCGACTCAAGAAAATACCCTACTCTAACCCATTGGCATGTGGCCAATTTTTAATGAAATAAGGATGTGAATTACCATGTGAATTTGAACTTGAAATTCATTGCAATTTTCACAATTTTAGTTGAATTTAAACATTTATTGCGAACAGTTTATTAATGATTACCAGATGATAAATTTATAATAACATAAAATAAGTCTTCGCACGTTGATTGTAAATACGATTTTTCATAACTTTAGTTGAATTTGGGTAATCACTGCAAGCAATTTATTAATGACTACCATGTGTGTCAGTTTGGAGGAGTTTGCCTTAAATGTATTGGACGTATTTCGTTTATGTACTTACAGCATGAGACTTGCTTCACTGGTACTTCATGGGATAGTTTTAATAAACCACATTGCTAATACTGAAATTCTGTGTGCTTGTCTCGAAACCGCGGATTGGAAAACTTCGCTGTTTGACCAAACGCTCCCTGCGGGTGAAGATTGTGGTTGGCACTCTACCCCCCCTAATTTTATTATTTGGAGGTGCACATCACGCAGCAGCTCTAGAGCGTAGTCGTGCGGCTTCTTACAAGAAGGTGGGTCAGTCAATATAAAAATTCATTTCTTGCATTCTCACTTGGATTTATTTTTTGAAAATCTGTCAGGTGCCAGGGATTAGAATAGCTGAAGTATATTTGCAGACAATTGATGAATGCTGAAAAAGAAAGTTTCTGAAACAAAATAAAGGAAACAATAAATTAATTTGTTGCAAGAACTTTGAATATTTTACCTTAATATATATGATCTTAAAATAACTATGAAGACTAAATTGTTTACCTAATTTTTATAGAATAAAAACATCCAAGCGTTTCACAGGTGCACGGACAAACCGACATTTATGGCGTAAACGAGATTTTCATCATCAAAGACCCACAAAACTTGGATTCTGGCTATGCAAAGAACTACTACATAGAGCAGAAAAATATCTTCTTCAATATCAGGGAGACATTATATGAAATGTCTGTCGAAAAATCGACGTTACAATATTATGTTGTACACGCACTATTTCAGTCACTTCATCCATAGAAAGTTGTGTAAATAATGTGTTTAAGATATTTAATAGAAACGCTTGAGCACTAAACGGTGTTGAGAAATCCGGTGACACCTCCATCATTTGTTATTCGTCATTGCCTTTTTATCCAGCGGAGGGCACAACCCGATAACAGGCATAGGATTGAAACCGTTCATTCTCGATAATGATAGAGCCGGAACTATCATTCTCTGTCAAGGCGGTCTCAGCGCGCTCACCTCGACACCGAGAACGATTGGAACTGAGTGTCACTAGGTCCGGCTCTAGTTACTACTATAATGTATTGACTTAAAGTTGTAATGTACGATTGCAAAATGCTCTCCAATTACTAATTAACATTTAACAAAAACTGAAACTGTAAGTTAGTCCCAAAAGCTCTCAAGAATAATGTCATAAAGCTATACTCCAGCTGACACAATGGGCTTGATTAGAACCCATTCCCTGTTGGTGTTTTCCTATTGGATAAAAGTAGCAAAGCGAAGCGTAATAATTTCCGTGCATCTAATAGTTATTTCCTGAAATGGTCGCTGGTGTTTAAGTTGCACGATTGCATAAACCTCTGATAATCGTAGAATACTCGTCATTGTCGTAAATAAATCTTTTCGATTTAATATCATTAAATAATTGAGTAATTGTGGCACTATCGATGTATGAAATAAGTTTGAAATCAAAGAACGCTCGGCGAGCGCAATCTCTGGGGTCACGTTGCACGTCAGGCAACGCATCGAAGAGTTGATTTTTTTATTTTTTTATTTTCTGCATAATTTACAATCTGTTACTATCGGAACAATAAGCAAATGGTGTCAACAGATACATTTCCGACGTGAACGTTTTATGACATTGAAAAATATCATTTACAATTTTTCAATGTCATCGAAGAGTGACGTCACGTTCTGAGCACTGCAAAGCACGAGCACCCCGGCTTTCGCGCTTTTCTATGGGAGAAGGCGGTCAATTCCCCATGCGTTTTAGTACCACAACTATACCACAGAAAGAGCCACAAGCTGTCGCTGTGGAGTGTTGGGAACTCATCGCCGCTGTCCTGAGAGGTTTTCCTTTTCCCTCTAACTGCATATCCGCAACGTCTACTCACCTATGTAATAATATATAAAAACGTTATAATAATGACTCTTATTTGCTTCTTCATTTAGAGTTTAAAAATTAGTGAACGATTTATTCATTTTACATTTTGAAGCTGTTGTATATTTTAAGGTTGCGTTCATTGAAAAATATACCAGTAACGAAGAGTTATGTGTAAAAGAATTAGTTCGAGAAAAAAAAATTGTTCAGGAAGTGTCAACAGTTCCTTGGCTTGCGGCGATCCGCCTGTTTGGAATCGAATGGGAGACACGTCCTCATGGCTGGGCACCCCTGCTGGCGCGGCACTCCACCCGCCCTCTCGCCCACCCTCACGCCCGCTAATAGATGTTGTGTTTTGTATCTCATTGCTTGGTAATAGATGTTGTGTTTGTAAGCTCTTGCTGTAATAGATGTGTCTGAAGCTATTGTAGTTGTAAAACTATTGTAGTTGTTAAACTATTTGTAGTTGTAACTACTTGTCAGTTGTAAACTATTGTAGTTGTAACTATTGTAAGTTGTAACTATTGTAGTTGTAACTATTGTAGTTTGAACTATAGTTTAACTATTGGTAGTTGTAACTATTGTAGTTGTACACTATGGATAAGTTGTAACTATATGTCAGTTTGTAACTAATAGTGTTAGAACTTCATTGTAGTTTGTAACTATTTGTAGTTGTAAACTATTGTAGTTGTAACTATTGTAGTTGTAGACGTATTGTAGTTGTAACTATTGTAGTTGTAACTATTGTAGTTGTAAACTATTGTAGTTGTAACTACTTGTTAGTTGTAAACTATTGTATTGTAACTTAGTTGCTAAATAGTGTTGTAACTATTGTAGTTGGGAACTGATTGTATTGTTGTAACTATTGTAGTGACTATTGTAGTATCTAATTTGTGTTGTATAAGCTGTTGCTAGTTGTAACTGTTGTAGTTGTAACTGTTGTAGTTGTAACTGTTGTAGGTTTGTAACTGATTGTAGTTGTAACTATTGTAAGTTGAAATGTAGTAACTATTGTAGTTTGTAAACTATTGTAGTTGTAAACTAATTGTAGCCTGTAAACTATTGTAGCTGTAAACTATTGTAGCTGGTAACTATTGTAGCCGTGCAATTATAGGCCCATTACTTATTCTTAGCTTGATGGAAACGTAGCTCTAGTTACAGTAATTGTTGTGACTGAGTGGCATTGTCGCTGTTGTTGAAAATGAAGCACGCGGCGCTCCGCCTCGCAGGGAGCACTTCGCGTCCAAAAGCCACGGAAGGCGCGCAGGAGGACAACCTCGATAGCTACAGTGTTCGCCTGAACCACGTCAGTGGCATGGACTTGGGGGATTTACGACCTACGTTGTGGAGCAGGAGATCGCATAGACACAGTGACCTTAAACAAGGTCCATCCTGGACAGTCAAAAACACACTCGAAGATAATCGTTTGGAAGATCATGTGTATGCATGCTCTATTAAGTTGCGTGAATAATTTTCAGGCAATTGCTCAAAGTTTAAATGTATGAGGGGGTTTTTAACAGGAGTATGCCACAATTTTGAACAGTAATTAATTAATTTTTAATTTTTAATTCGTCATCGCCGATACATTGAATATGTTGATAATTACTGTTGGATGTAGCAAGCATAACATGTCATTATGTTCCATTGTTCGATTGCTTGAACATTCTACAAACCCATATATCTGTGCGAGAAAGTGGTATTCTAAAAATGCCCTTGTCTTCTATGCTTTCATGATTTGTTCCTCCCCACCCATCACGCAATTACACTTTCAATACGGTAGAAATCTATTCCGCGTCAACTTTCACGAACATTAAATTCTTTTAATAAGTTTGGCATCTCAATCTTTTGGAAACAACGACAAATGGTGTCGCGTTCGTCCGGCAGAATACATATTGTTCTCCAGATTTTTACTTACGACGTGCAATCATTGCCAGTTCATATTTTACCAAATAATAACATTTAAAGAACGCAACGTTCACAACAACATCACCAAGTTGCAATATTAGCGCGAGAAAACTACATTACGCAACAACTTAGGAAAACACGGACAATGGCGTTTATCACTACGAAGGTGGGTACAATGACGTCTTAAGTAATGCAGGGTGCCTCAACAAGTCCTCAACAGAAGTGGTCACGTGAACAAAAATGAACATTTGGAGTGTGACAGTTTTCGTGTACAAGTGTTCTCACATATTTACGTAGCAAAAATTAGGATATCACACCATACGAAAAATTTACGGCACATTAGTCATGACATGCCAAATCGCTGCTTATTTCCGGACAATGCACACGACAGTCACTGACACTGAATGCGCCAACTCACACACTCGCCGTCGTAGGCTGGTTCCATAGAACATCATCTGGTGCCACTGCAGGGCTCGGGCCGGGAGGTCTAAGAGTGTCGCATTCTCATCGTCGAGAATTTTCCGAAAGCACCTAATACTAGGTCCAAATTCGGCTGCCCTATCTACGAAGAGAAGTTCTAGCTGCCGGCCTGCTCGGGTAGGTTCTTTTTCGTTGTTTGCTTCCCATCCAACCAGCCAGCGAATGTCCGAGCAGTACCCTAACAAACCGACCGTGTACCGCGCGCTATTTTTACTTCCTCTTCCTTGTGCCTATCCTCATCCCTTACACACACACACACACACACGTACACACAATTTCATTATGTCAGAAGGCACACCATTCACACACTCACTGTAGTAACCGACTAGCTAGCCTAATATATACGAATCCCATTGTGTAAGCGCAGTGGAAGCTTAGAGCTTGTCATCTACTACTGCGGGACGGTGTACGCGTAATAGATAGGGCGTGGTACCGGAGAGTGCACCGGAAATTGAAAACTGGCCCGATAGCCGGCCGTGTAGGTCGCGCTGGATGTCTACGATCCAACGGGAGGAACACGAGACACATGTATGTCCTTTAGTAAGAAAAATAAACGATGCACTATACTACTTAGGTGCAATGAATTACCGGTAGCAGTCATTTAAATGCAGCTCGGGATCACTAACTCAATCTCACAATGATTTGAAGATTGGCCAAAAAAGTGGGAAAAAATAACAATCAACGAGAAAATAGATCAGTCCATTATAACCTTTACCCTGAGAAAAAAAACAAATGGCCCTTACATGGTCCACTCAACAACAATCCAAATAGTACAGGTGGAAAGGGGTTAAAATACTTGGGAATACATTTAGACAAACGGGCTATAACAGGAAGCATTCACATCTTAGCCAAACAAAACAGCACCTTCACTTTCAAACAAGAAAAAAACTATACTGGCATACTAGGATACCACTCAAAACAAATCACTGAAAATGAAGAACTGTTGGATTTTAAAGCTATCATTGAATCCCAATATGGGGACCTAGCGGCAGTCCAAATCTGGGGCAAGCAAGCAAGAGTAATCTTCATTCATATCCAGAGATTTCAAATCCAAGACCCTTAAGGAATGAAATCGCGGCAGGCACCGATTGGTTCATCCACCAAATTTGCAGCACTGCAACAAGGAACTTAAAAATTGACCCACTCTCTTGAAAAGTATTAGAATTTGATCAGCTCCAACTATCTCCAAGCGGCCTTGAAAAACCAATTCCAAACCCAACTTAGGCCCCTGCAACATTCCTAGACAGATTAGGCTGCAGTTATCGCATCGGGACTAACCAGAACCTTCAAACCTTGCACAACTCCCATTACAATTTCTTCAACAAATAACTGAAACCATTAGCCCCTCAGCTACTAAAACTAATTTCCACTTGCCAGCTAAAACCCAAATTAATTTTACTTGCGTTTTGTTAAAGTATGGAGAAAGAAGTAGATTGGTGAAAAGTTGTGGGATACCTCACTTTTTGGGAAATTCCAGATCAAGTGGGTCAGAAAAAAAATTCTAACAATATCATATTTACTTATTATTTTTGCTTAAAAAAAAATAGATGAGTAAAAATTTTTTTGTTATAAATAAAGTAAAACTATCCGCGG